CTCCAATCAACCGCCCAAGTATACTCAGCCTTCCCTTCCATCCCAGGCTGTGTGGAGCCAGGGACCCCCACCACCTCCGCCCTATGGCCGTCTCTTAGCCAACAGCAATGCCCACCCAGGCCCCTTCCCTCCTACTGGAGGCCAGTCCACAGGCCACCCACCAGCGCCGACACATCACCATCACCACCAGCAGCAGCAGCATCATGGGAGCTCTGGGCCCCCTCCACCTGGAGCATATCCCCACCCCCTGGAGAGCAGTAGCTCCCACCATGCCCATCCTTACGCCATGTCTCCCTCTCTGGGGTCTCTGAGGCCCTACCCGCCAGGGCCAGCACACCTGCCCCCACCTCACAGCCAGGTGTCCTACAGCCAAGCAGGCTCCAGCGGCCCTCCTGCCTCTTCCTCCTCTTCCAACTCTTCTTCCTCTTCTTCCTCTCAAGGATCCTACCCATGTTCACACCCCTCCCCTTCCCAGGGCCCCCAAGGAGCGCCCTACCCGTTCCCACCGGTGCCTCCGGTCACCACTTCCTCGGCTACGCTTTCCACGGTCATTGCCACAGTGGCTTCCTCGCCAGCAGGCTACAAAACAGCTTCCCCACCTGGGCCCCCGCCGTATGGAAAGAGAGCCCCGTCCCCAGGGGCCTACAAGACAGCCACCCCACCGGGATACAAGCCGGGGTCGCCTCCCTCCTTCCGAACAGGGACCCCACCCGGCTACCGAGGCGCCTCGCCGCCCGCGGGCCCAGGGACCTTCAAGCCGGGCTCGCCCACTGTGGGGCCAGGGCCCCTGCCACCTGCCGGGCCCTCAGGCCTGTCATCCCTGCCACCACCGCCTGCAGCCCCCGCCTCAGGGCCGCCCCTGAACGCCACGCAGATCAAGCAAGAGCCAGCTGAAGAGTATGAGACCCCCGAGAGCCCAGTGCCCCCGGCCCGTAGCCCCTCGCCCCCTCCCAAGGTGGTAGACGTGCCCAGCCATGCCAGCCAGTCAGCCAGGTGAGCCGCCCTGGGCGGGGTGCGGTTGGGCCTGGAATGGGGAACGACGGAGGGGGTAACGGAGAGACCGGTGCAGGCGCAAGAGGGAACCTTGCGTTCTCGTGGTGCTTTTTGAAGTACTCCAGAACCTCGCCTCGCCCTCACAGTCTGCGCAGGCGGGTCTGGGGGCAGGGTCACCGCGGGGCGCTCCGGCAGCTCGCAGGGGCTAAGCGCGCGCCGCCCTCGCGCCCGGCAGGTTCAACAAACACCTGGACCGCGGCTTTAACTCGTGCGCGCGCAGCGACCTGTACTTCGTGCCGCTGGAGGGCTCCAAGTTGGCCAAGAAGCGGGCCGACCTGGTGGAGAAGGTGCGGCGCGAGGCCGAGCAGCGCGCGCGCGAAGAGAAGGAGCGCGAGCGCGAGCGGGAACGCGAGAAGGAGCGGGAACGCGAGAAGGAGCGCGAGCTGGAACGCAGCGTGGTGAGTGCGTCACCACATGCGCCACCCACCCGCCTGTCTGGCCCTCTGCGCCGCGCAGGGAGGGCCGGGGCGGCGGGGGGGTGGGGGTGGGGGTTGGTGGGGTGGGTGTCATTGCGCCCCCTATCGGAGAGGAGGAAGCACGGCAGCCCGGGAAATCGAGACGGAAGGATTCCAGCGGGAGAAATCCTTGCATTCTTGGGTTGGGGGAAGGCAAATTCAGATCCGAGTGCCTATGGATGGTAGGGAGAGCCAACATCCAGGAGAAAGGGTTAGGGAAATTCGAGTAAGATGAGGCATTTTGGCCTTCAGCTGGTGAGACAAATGAGCAGCTCTGGACCAGCCGTCTTTTTCCAGACCTGCCCTTTTGACTCTGTTTCTCCCTGTATCCCACAGAAGTTGGCTCAGGAGGGCCGGGCGCCGGTGGAGTGCCCATCTCTTGGCCCGGTGCCCCATCGCCCTCCATTTGAGCCGGGCAGCGCTGTGGCTACAGTGCCCCCCTACCTGGGTCCTGACACTCCGGCCCTGCGCACGCTCAGTGAATATGCCCGGCCCCACGTCATGTCTCCTGGCAATCGCAACCACCCGTTCTACGTGCCCCTAGGGGCAGTGGACCCGGGGCTCCTGGGTTACAATGTCCCGGCCTTGTACAGCAGTGACCCAGCAGCCCGGGAGAGGGAGCGGGAAGCCCGTGAACGAGACCTCCGTGACCGCCTCAAGCCTGGCTTTGAGGTGAAGCCCAGTGAGCTGGAACCCCTACACGGGGTCCCTGGGCCGGGCCTGGATCCCTTCCCGCGACATGGGGGCCTGGCTCTGCAGCCTGGCCCACCTGGCCTGCACCCTTTTCCCTTTCATCCGAGTCTGGGGCCCCTGGAGAGAGAACGTCTAGCGCTGGCAGCTGGGCCAGCCCTGCGGCCTGATATGTCCTACGCGGAGCGACTGGCAGCTGAGAGGCAGCATGCAGAAAGGGTGGCAGCCCTGGGCAATGACCCGCTGGCCCGGCTGCAGATGCTCAATGTGACCCCCCATCACCACCAGCACTCCCACATCCACTCCCACCTGCATCTCCACCAGCAGGATGCCATCCATGCAGGTGAGACTCCTACTTCTTTGTCTTGGTCCCTGGGGGCCACCTTGACCCCTGGCAAGTGATTGGGCTCTTTTGTTCCTCAGGCCAAGACTTCCTCCTCTAGTCTGGCATGAGCCTGTCTCTGGGGATTGCTCCCCTGATCTTTGCCTCCCTGTCATCCCCATCTCCTCATGCCCCAGCCTTGCCACAGGGACTGTAATAACCCACCCCCCACCCCTCTTCAGAGTCTAGCAGTCCACTCGTGTTAGAGGAAACCTTTGAGGGAACGCTACCTTTCTGCCCTCAGACTGTGCCCCCCACCCCCCTTCACTTACCTGTTTCCTTGCTCCTTTGGATTCAACTCTGTTACAGTTTCTTGCCATCTTCTCTCCTCCCAGTTGGAGGTGTTTCGTGTTCTTCCCCATCTCTAGATCTGTGGCCTTCCAGAAAGAGCCCTATAGCTTTGGCTGGGGGTATCTTAGGTGCAAATGAGCTTTATTTACTATCCTTTTGCCATATTATTGTCTAGAACACTGCCTGATCTAGCCTTAACAGTCATGGTCATTCCAGGCTTCCTTGTGCTTTCCCTTTCTTAACCTCCTCTCCCTCTTCCTGGCTTACTTCCTAAACTTTCTAGCCTGCTCTTTCTCCTCTAAGCAGCCCATGTCTCTCTTTCCTTTCCCTCAGACCCCTTTGACAAACTGTAATCTCCTGTTCTCTGTCATCCATTTGTCCCTACTCCAGTAAGGTCTTGTTGTTCTGGCCACCCACCAGGCCCCTAGTTCTTCCTTTGCGCCTCCTTGTTCCTCACTGGGTCTCCCTGCATTAGATTGATTGTCCACCCCTTCCCAGGCTTGGATCCCTTCACCCAAATGCATGTTTTTCTCCAAACGTGCCTTTTGGTGACACCTTCCTCTTCTCTACCCTCTAGCCTCTGCCTCGGTGCACCCTCTCATTGACCCCCTGGCCTCAGGGTCTCACCTTACCCGGATCCCCTACCCAGCTGGGACCCTCCCCAACCCCCTTCTTCCTCACCCTCTGCACGAGAACGAAGTTCTTCGTCACCAGCTCTTTGGTAAGGCTAGAGGTGGGGGTGGGGAGGGTCTCATGAGAGAAGGGCAGGAAAGAGGAGTTTGGGTGGTGGGATTGACCTATTTGGGCTTGGGGGGCGCGGATGAGGAGTACCCAGAGGAGCTGGGAATAGGAGAAGGAGGGCCGAGGCCCTGCACAAGAGAGGCACAGGTTTAGTGCCAGGCGGAGGTTTGAATCCTCTCCACTGCTGGCAACTTGCAGGACTGGCTTTTCCCGAAGTGTTTTAGTCTTAGTTTCCTCCAAATGTGAGGTGGCTGGCTGTCCCCTGGCCCAGAGTAAGTACTCAGCACTCCCATCAGTCATGTGCCCCCTGCCCTTCCTGCCCACAGCTGCTCCTTACCGGGACCTGCCAGCCTCCCTGTCTGCCCCAATGTCAGCAGCTCACCAGCTGCAGGCCATGCACGCACAGTCCGCCGAGCTGCAGCGCCTGGCCCTGGAACAGCAACAGTGGCTGCACGCGCATCACCCCCTGCACAGTGTGCCGCTGCCTGCCCAGGAGGACTACTACAGGTAGCACAGGGCCCCCGAGGCCAGGGGGGGCGGGGTGCGGGCAGGAGACCGCTGGGCGTTGGGCTCCTGGTGTGTGTGGGGGGGACCTCTCCTCTATCCCCCCCCACCCTCTGACAGGGGCCAGGTCAGGGTTGACCTCAGTCTCATGTCTCTGCTCTGCATCCCCTCTCCACCAGTCACCTGAAGAAGGAAAGCGACAAGCCGCTGTAGAACCTGCCATCAAGAGCGCACCGTGGCCCCCGCATCTGGACCTCGGAGGCCTCCCTTCCAGCCCTCCACCCAGAGCTGAGGAGGGAGGGGTGCCGCTCCTTTGCAGGGTTTCAGCAGCTGGGCAGAGGGAGGGAGGAAGGGACAGACGGAAGGCCAAGGCTCCTGTGGTATGCAGAGGTGGGGAGGTGGCGGGGGTGGGGTGGGGTGGGGGCAGAAAGCGCACAGTATCTTGGACCAGGTCCCTTTTTCTTGTCCCCCTGCTTTCTTCCTCCCCCATGCCCAACCCCCGGTGGCCACCGCCCCTCCCCCACCCCCGTTGGTGTGATTATTTCATCTGTTAGATGTGGCTGTTTTGCGTAGCATCGTGTGCTGCCCCCGCCCCCACCCCCAGTCCCTGTGCGCGCGCCCCTTCTGCGATGTATGCCCCTTGCCCCTCCCCCACATTAATAATTTATATATATAAATATCTATATGACGCTCTTTAAAAAACATCCCAACCAAAACCAAACAAAAACATCCTCACGACTCCCCAGGAAGATGGCTGTGACTGGTTCTTTGCGGGCTCTGGGGGCGGAGTTGGGGGTGGGGGGTGGGAACTACTCAGCGGTGCCTGGAGAGAAAGCTGTGGAACCGGACACAAGTGGGTGTAGGGACCTGGAGAGTTGCGGAGGAGCTCTCGGAAGGGCCCAGGGCCCTGGAGCCGTGGCTCTGCTGGAGGGGTACTACGGAGCTAGTCCCTCCCTGCGTCGCAAGGCGGGGAAGTCCAGACGCTGGAGGCCGGCGTGGGGGGAGGACGGGCACGCCTCTGACAGGGTCAGGGCTAGGAAGCCACCCAGGCTTTGGAGGCCTTTCTGCCACTGGCCCCACAGCTAGGAGCCCCCAGAGTCCAGAATCCTTTCTGTCGAATAGATTGAGAAAGGGTTATGAAGCGGAGGTGCAGGGGCATAGTTTCATTGGGTTAAAGCGACTAGAACTCAGGAGTCCTAAGTACTCCATGGTTTGAGGAGGGAGTGGGCGACCATTTCAAATATCTAGAACAGAAGAGAAATTGGAGGGCGTTACGCTGGAGCGCACACCCGGCACAAGGCCATTTTAGGAGAGCACGAGAGCCGCCTTGGCTCTCGGCGTTTATTGCCGCCAATCACTTCGTTCTCAAAAACCGGAGGGGGCGTGGCCGGCCGTCTCAGCCAATCAGCCTCGAGGTCATTTGCATAGGCTCGGAATCAAATGTTCACAAACTCTAGAAATGGATGCTATAAATAAGTTTCTTTTCCCCCTGTTTTTCCTTCTGAAAGTTATAGTGTCCCCCGTTGGTTATACATCAATAGGAATTAGAAAACGCCAGTCTGAGCTCACCCTCACCAATAGTGGCGTTCATGGATACCCCATGTTCTCTCCAGGCAACTTTCTGTAGTGTTACAGCTCTTTTAGAATTTGTCTAGCAGGTTTTCCGGTTTTTACCGGAAGACCCCCCCCCCTCCACAGTTCGTTTTTAACAATAGAGGTGTGTCAGCCATAATGATGGTTTCTCTTTGTATTAGTATTTTTCGAACGTTGGGTGGTCCGTCTGAGTGGCTTTCCCCCTCCTGAGATATTTCGGCAGCTCTGCCGCGTTGCACTACGCTGAGAGGTTTTCTCGGCTTCCGGCTGCGGCTGATGCTGCTTCCCTTCCACCCCCGTCAGTTTTGAGAGCACCCTAGGATTAGGCAGCTCGTTTTTCCTGAGCATTTCTTGGGCTTCGCTGTAAGTGCAGCTTTTGTTACCCTATGGCGTCCGCCTCGGCCCAACCGGTGGCCCTGAGCGCCGAACAAGCCAAGGGTGAGCAGCATTCTAGCCACCGGGTGGGCTTCCTGCTGCAGGAGGGGTGCGGGCGGAGGGTACAGAGCGAGGGGTGTGGTTGCGCCGCCGGGAAATGGGGGCACAGGGTGCCATCTTTCTCTTTCCTCCAGGAGGGGTCCTTGCCCCCTAGAGCGAGGGAATCTGGGTCGAGTTTATCGGGTTACTATGGCTTCAGTCCACTAATTCCCTGCCCTCTTCCCTGCGTTCTCGGCTGCGCCCGCCGGCCATACTCCGACGCCTACCCGGGGATGCGTGTGCCGCACAGTGGTCCTGGCCGAGGTAATCCAGGCGTTCTCGGCCCCGGAGAACGCCGTGCGCATGGACGAGGCTCGGGACAACGCGTGCAACGACATGGGCAAGATGCTGCAATTCGTGCTGCCTGTGGCCACGCAGATTCAGCAGGAGGTTATCAAGGCCTATGGCTTCAGCTGCGACGGAGAAGGTGGGTCGGTCGGGGGTCGGGGGTCGGGGGTGGCGCGGGTCCGGGAGAGGGCGCTGGACCCATTGGGTCCCTAAGCCGTCCTCCCTTGTCTCGCCACATGGAGGCAGCCACAATCTGACGAACAGCATTGGCAGTCAGAGCCAAGAGTCTATTCTGAACTTGTGCCAGGTGAAGTCCTAAGTGCTTTTTGTAGTTACCAGTAATTATACTGTTACCCCACTTTAAGATGAGGAAACAGACTCTAGCAGTAAACTGAGTGCCTGAGGTCACAGCAGAGCTGGAACCGAACCCTCTTCTGATAGCTTCTAGTGGGATGTCTGCATGACAGTATGCTTCTGCCGCCCCTCCAGGGGGTTTTAGCTAATCTCTGTTGGAGGGCAGGCTGGTCAGTTTCCTTGATGAGATCATGGCGTTCCCCAAGGGTGCAAATCCATCAGCCCAGCTGGCCCATGGCTCTCCTGTGTTCTGGTTATAGACTTGGGACCTTGTGTATGTTCATACTTTGCCATGATGGCAAATAGCCAAAATGGTTCACCTGATCACGAGAAGCACACTGCTTTGGGATATTTCATTCACTGCATCCCATCCAAGTTGTGCCTGGCATAGACCAGGAAATGGTTGATCCAAACCACACAGGGCAGAGGCCTGCTTGTGCCTTGTTTTGTAGGCAGCTACCTGACCAGAGGGGGAACAGCCAGTGACTCATGCCCAAGCTGCCCCCTCCTGATGTCTGGGGCACACCTGTCCCCTGGTGTGGCTTGATGCTCCACTTCCCCTTGCAGGTGTCCTGAAGTTTGCCCGCTTGGTCAAGTCTTATGAAGCCCAGGATCCCGAGATTGCCAGCTTGTCGGGGAAGCTGAAGGCGCTGTTCCTGCCGCCCATGACATTGCCTCCCCACGGGCCTGCTTCTGGCGGCAGTGTGGCTGCCTCCTGAGGGTCGGCCCTCCCGGGCGACACTGCCCAGGAAGAGAAGACCTTAATGTTCCGGAGGATAATAAACGTGCCTGTGTCTTAGCCTCAGCGTCAGTCTTTTATGACCCTGACAACCCCCACCTCCTGGCCCCAGATTCCTTCCGCCATTCCAGGCCACTTCAGCTCGCCGTCTAGACCCTTCCTATGTTCCTGCTGGTTACAACCCTGCTCTGGGGCAGGGTGGTAGGATGGATTTGCCCCTCAATACCCTGGGGGGAGAGGAGGTGGCGGGCCTGCACAGGTGGCACTTCCTCCGAGGAGTGGGGCTTCCTGGGCTTTTTCAGAGGCCCCTTCGCTTCTGTGTGCTGGGAGGTCCCCCATTGGCTGGTGCTCCCTCGGCCAGGATTACTTCCTGGTCTTTGCCCCCACCCCGCCCCCTCCCTCCAGCGGCTCTGTCAGCTCCAGGTGGAGCTCCAGGTGGCTCCTCCCCTCCCAAGGGAAGGAGCCGAGGACAGGCGGGCCCTGGACTACCCAGTGGGGCTGGCGGGAGAGGCTGGTGGCCATGGCAGCCTGAGGCCAGCCCCTCCCACCTGTCCCTTCTCCAGGGATCATTAGACCAGGGCCTCGCTGCCGTGGTGCCAGTGGCCTGGCGGGCTGCACCAAGGAGGAAGTCGCTGAGCTCCCAGCGTTCCTCCTCACCTGTTCAGGCTGCTGTGCACAGCTGCACTCCTTGTGGTCCTGTGCCTGTGACCCCCCCGTCCCTCTGGGGAGATGCTGTCCCGTGGGTAAGTCCCCGGCTCCACCTGGGTGCCACAGGCTCCTGATAGTTTGGGAGAGAGGGGCAGGGTGTATGCTCAGCGCTGCAGGTGTGCGACCATGAGCGCCATCTACTGCCCCCCGCCCCCGGGTTTGCTTCCTGTCCCTCCCTCAAGATGTGAGGAACTCCAGTCTCATTTATACTCCTCAGCCCCCTCCTCCTTTTCTCTAGCACTTTCCCCGTGACAGCTGTGTCTTTCTTTTCTCCATTGCTTGTCTCCCTTCACTCTCTGGTCCCCTGCTTCTGCCGCCTGCTTACCCGAACCCCTGGGTAGCCCCCATTCAGAAACATAACATGTTTGAAAGGCAAACCTGGGAAAGCTCCCCCTTCGCACGGAACATCCCAACATCTGGCGTTCATTCCACTCTGTGTCTCTTCACTTCCCCCTCCCATGCATCATTCATGCAGCAGATGCATGGCGAGCGTCCCCTTTGGGCCAGGTACTTTGTAAGGTGCTGGCAATAATGTAGCGAAGAAGACAGACACGGTTCTTACTCTCATGGAGCTTCATTCCAGTGGGAGGCAACAGAGGACACAGAGAATCCAATAAATAGGACTAATTTTAGATTCTCAGAAGTGTTATGCAGAAACGAAAACAGTGTCAGGTGCTAGCTAGCACGTGACTGGGAGTGCCAATGGCATTGCTACCTGGAGGGGTCCAGGAGGGCTTTCCTGAGGAGGTGACGTGTGCTGAGAGCGGGCTGTTGAGGAAGAGCCAGCCATGTGGTGACCAAGAGTCGAGTGCCCCTGGGCAGAGGCCCTGCTGTGGGCACACAGGAACCAAGGGACAGGGTGCACAGAGTAAAGCAGCGGAGAGGGAGGCCGGGACCCACAATGTCACATGTGGTCAGGATGCTGTGTCCATGTGTGGGTATCTGCACTGGGCCAGAGATGTGTGTAGATGGACGTGGACGATGAGGCGCGTGTAGTGGGTCTGTGTGTGCATGTGTGTGCTCATCTGTATATGACAAGCAGGGTGTGTATGTGTAGGGCTGGAAGCTGAACATGTCAGTGCAGGGACCAGGAGGTGATCATGCCTGTGCATGGTTATTGATGAGCTTGTTTATTGGACATGTACTCTGCGTGAGGCGTTGTGTTAGCCTTTGAACTCCTGAAGGTGGGCCCGATGGGCTGTGGACCCCCCACGGTGGAGCCGGCTATGCAGACGCTCTTTCTGCCCCTAGCTCTGGGAGGGAATTTGTGGTCTTTCAGTGGGGCTCAAAGTCCAAGACTGAAAGGGTAGTCAGCGTTAGGTCATACAATAAACAGACCGAGTTTTCCAGGTACCAGAGAGAAGGGGGACGGGGAGAGCCCATTTTTGGGGGGGAGAATTGATGTTTGATATTTGAAAAAGTGATAAAGTAGTCATCACAGGAAACAGACTTTAGTTGAGCTTTAACACTTGGTTATTATTTTTCCTTATTTTTTATTGAGGTAATAGCATACATAATGTGCATGAATGCTTACCATGAGTGCTTACCATGAATCTTAAGCATATGGCCTAATTACATACACCAATGTATACACCATCCAGATTAAGATGTAGAACATTCCCAGCACCCCAGTTGGTGTTTCCTACAAATTGCCATCTCCCAAGCAATTTATTTATTTTTATAAAGGTAATACATACCCATGCTACAACATCCAAAAAGGGATAGGGAAAAGAAGACATCCAGATGGCCAACAGACACAGATGCTCAACATCACTCATCCTCAGGGAAATGCAAATCAAACCCACACTGAGATACCACCTCACATTTGTCAGGATGGCTAGAATCAGAAAGACAAGAAATAACAAGTGTTGGTGAGGATGTGAAGAAAAGGGACACTTGTGCACTGTGGTGGGAATGTCAGTTGGCCCAGACACTGTGGAAAACAGTATGGAGCTTCCTCAAATAATTAAAAGTAGGAATACCATATGATCCAGTAATTCCACTACTGGGTATCTACCCAAGAAAATGAAAACAATAATTCAAAAAGATATAGGCACCCCTATGTTCATTGCAGCATTATTTACAGTAGCTAAGCTAGGGAAGCAACCCAAGTGTCCATCGACAGATGAACGGATAAGGAAGATATGGCATATATATATACACACACATACATACAATGGAATATTACTCAGCCATAAAAAGAATAATATCTTGCCATTTGTGACAATATGGAATGGATCTAGAGGGTACTATGTTAAGTGAAATAAGTCAGTCAGGGAAAGACAACGTATGATTTCACTTATATGTGAATCTAAAACACAAAACAAATGAACAAACAAAAATCAGAAACAGACCCATAAACACAGAGAATAAACTGATGGTCGCTAGAGGGGAGGCGGGTGGGAGAGAGGCAAAATGAGTGAAGGCAAGTGGGCGGTACAGACTTCCAGTTATGGAGTCAATGAACCATGGGGATGAAAGGCACTGCATAGGGAAGATAGTCAGTGGTATTTAAAAAAATATTTTAAAGATTTTTTATTTATTCATTTGAGAGAGACAGGGAGCCCACTTCGGGGCTCGATCTGAGGACCCTGAGATCATGGCCTGAGCTGAAGGCAGGCGCTTAACGACTGAGCCACCCAGGCGCCCCTCATCAGTGGAATTGTACTAATGTTGGATGGTGACAGGTGGTAGCTACGTTTGTGGTGAGTGTAGCATGCCACATGGACTTGTTGAATCACTACATTGCACACCTGAAACTAATGTAACATTGTGTGTCAACTATAATTCAATTCAAAAAACAGGTATAGGGGCGCCCGGGTGCCTCAGTCAGTTAAGTGTCTGCCTTTGGCTCAGGTCATGATCCCAGGATCCTGGGACTGAGTCCTGCATCGGGCTCCCTGCTCAGCGGGGAGCCTGCTTCTCTCTATCCCTCTGTCACTCCCCTGCTTGTGCTCACTCTCTCTGACAAATAAATAAAATATATTTTTTTAAAACCCAGGTATAAGGGAGAAGTAAATGTTCCTTCCAGCCCTCTCCCCCAGCCACTTAGTCTCTTTCCCAGGCAGAAGCCACCAATTTGAGCTTTCTGTGTATCCTTTGTCGGATTGCTTTCCTCTTGTTTTGGTTTGGTGGTGTTTGTGTTTGTATGTGGAATTACACACGGGGAGCATCATGAGCTTCTGGTGTGTAGGGCCTCTCAAGGTCAACCAGCCCTGAGAATATCAGTCATGGCATGGACCTCAGTCCCCAGTCCCCAGGGGACAGGCCCCTGGTCAGAGTCCTGAGCTCTGGCTGATTCAGACCAGACCCCTTGACAAGAACCTACGGCTCAGGCACAGGGGTGGACCACCCCAAGGGGGCTGGCTGCTCTACCCCCACCTGCTTCCCTAGATCTTCGTCCCCTTGCATTCTGTTCCTTGACTCCCCTACCTGGTTAGGACACAGTGGGACAAAGACTTAGGACAAGAAGTAGAAAAGGTGTAAGTTTGACAGCTTTGTCCATCCCTCTGTCCCAGCAGCACCTCTTCAGATGTGTATGTCTGGTGGGCGGGGGTGGGGGGGTGGGGAGGTGAGAGCACCTTTCCCTTTGTAAGCATCTGCTTGGCCTTGGCTGTTAGTCTCCCCTTCCCGGCAACCCCCAGTGGACCAGTGGTCCCAGCCTCTGTCCTTGGAAGCCCTCAGGGCTGGCATTCAGTAGCTAGAGTCACTGGCTTTGGAACCCGTGTGTGGGGTTACATCCCAGTGCCGCCACTTACGGACTGGCCGGCCCCAAGGCAAGTTCCCCACATGCTCTGAGCCTCAGGTTCCTTGTCTGTAGAATGGGGATAGAGATGCACCTGCTTCACGGGGCTCTTGTGAGGAATAAATCAGCTAAGGCACATCAAAGACATCATAGCACAGCGCCTGGCATCCATGAAATGAGACTTGTCACCGTCACATCATCATGAGCCTGGACCAGGGCGGGCTGCGTGGAAGCGGCTGGTGGGGGAAGACGAGATGGCCTGCGGCCGTGTGGGCTCATGTTTATGAAGCACGGCCTTCGCCGGTAGGGCGCAAGGCACGTCTGTGTCCTTATTTCGTGTGTCGTCACGCTCGCGGAGGGCCATGCTCCCAAGGCCTTTGATGGCAGACGTGTGGGAAGTGGGCCCCATCCCCACCCCCACTGCCACCCTGCTTTGCGTCTCTTCGCTCTGCTCTAAAACGAGAAGTACAGTGAGTTCCCCCAAGGGGTCGGCCGCGCCCCTTCCTGTCCCCGCCCTGCCGGCTGCCCCCGGCCAGTGGAGTGGCAGCCCCAGCACCAGGACCGCCAGGGCTGTGAGGCGGCCTGGTAGCCCCAGAGTTCTCGGTCCGCCCGGACTGCCCCGCACACCTCCTCCCCTGCACCCTCTTCCCCTCAGGGAGCCCCCAGGATGGTGAGGTAAGGTCCTGGGACCCACGGGACGCAGGAGGCAGGGGCGCCCTGGGGACCGAGGGCCCGCTCCTCACTGCTCCCCGGGGGGCCGGCAGGTGGTTTCACCGAGACCTCAGCGGGCTGGACGCGGAGACCCTGCTCAAGGGCCGCGGCGTCCATGGGAGCTTCTTGGCTCGGCCCAGTCGCAAGAACCAGGGTGACTTCTCCCTCTCCGTCAGGTAGGTGGCCCTGAACGCCAGCCAGGGCGAGTCGTTCGGCACCTCGTTCCTGGTTCCCTCGTGGCAGCGCCCACTCCCCAGTCCCCAGCACCAATGTGTCCCCCCAGTCCCGTCCCTGTCTGTGCCCACGCCCTCGCTGTGTGTGTGTGTGCCCCCTCTTCAGCCCCGGGCCAGCCCATCCCCGCTGTGTCCCCCACCTCCACTCTTGCACCCACTGGCCTCACCACCTGGTGCCCCGCAGGGTGGGGGATCAGGTGACCCATATTCGGATCCAGAACTCGGGCGATTTCTATGACCTGTATGGAGGCGAGAAGTTTGCGACGCTGACAGAGCTCGTGGAGTACTACACACAGCAGCAGGGCGTCCTGCAGGATCGAGATGGCACCATCATCCACCTCAAGTACCCGCTGAACTGTTCCGACCCCACCAGTGAGAGGTGAGGGGCTTCCTGACCCACCCCCACGTGGAGATGGGCTGCCTTCCCCACTGTCAGTGCCTCCCCCGCTCCTTCCCAGCGCTCTGTGGGCCTCTTTCTTCCATGTGACCCCGGGCCCGTGTCTCAGGGGACTAACCTCCCACCCCTTTCCCTCAACCCCTGAGAAAGCAGGGGGCAGCACCCTTGCCCTCTTCCAGGGTCCCTGTCAGCCAGCGCCCCAGGCCCGCCTAGGGATGGAGAGGCCTAGTGGCTGCCTTGTGTAGTAGGCCGGCCCTGTTGTTAGAAAGCTCTTCTTCCTTCTATGGAACTGAATCTGCCTTGCTGTAACTATTCTCTCCCCCAGCACAGGTTGATACACAGAGAGACTGGTGCTGAGGAGGAGCATAGGGACTTACATATGAGGACATTTAATGCTTTATCTCAGCAACACAGTGATGACGGGCCTGCTTCTGGGGGCTCCGTAGAGCTCGACCAGTCCCTTGACCAGAACACGGATCAGTGGAAAACTGTGTGATAGGGTCGCATACGCAAGGGGCCTAGTACCTGGGCACAGGGTAATACTCAAGGCTTTGCCCTCCTGTCCCTTTGGCTCCAGAGACGTGGTCCCCACGACTGCGTAGGCCGCCCCCCGCATGTGGTCTTCCTACAGCATGTGTGGGGGTGGGGGTCCCGAACCCTCAGCATTACAGGGTGGCTCCTTTTAGCGGCTGCATCCCAATGATGGCTCTGTCAAGGTGAAGGGCAGCCGAATCATTCTAGGGGCTTTTTTTTTTTTTTTTTTTTTTCACATTCCGGGGGCCGAGGCAACTTGCCCTTGTCCTGTATTTGTGTGTCGATTGTTGACATGATTGGGAACCTGGGTTCCGTCAGTTTTCAGTGTTTCTGAGATGCATTGCCTCTCAGCTCACATCAGTATTTTTGTTCAAGTCACCGATGAAAAGTTAGAAGTGGGTCAGGCTGCGGTAAGGGCCTCGGGGCCCACCGCTGGACGCCACACTGCCGCCGACATGAAGCCATCGATCCATTCCCTTTGAATCCACCTCTTTGAGGAGTGAAGCCCAAGCATGGGTGACTTTGCTCATGGTGGCCCTCCTTGGCTCTTGCGTGGCCTCCGCTCCCTCTTGCCCTCTTCCTCTGCCTGGCCTGCAACATTCATGCAGGTTTGCCACCCAGGCCCTCTGGAGCTCCTCATGTTCTCTTTGCCCAAAGCCAGCATCTGTCCTGCTAGACGGTGGGTTGGTGGAGGCCCTAGAGGAGCAGCAGGTTGTGGATGGAGCTAGAAGAGGGAAGGAGAAGCTGGGGGGGGGCGGGGAGCCTGAGGCCTGGAGAAGCAGGAGGAGGACTGAGCTGGGGGTGGGGGTGGGGAGGGGGAGGGAAGGATGGAGGGAGCCAAGGCCAGGAAGGCTGACTCTAAGAGGCCCTTTTGGTTCCCAAGGCCAGGGTGCCAGGACGCCTGGTTCACCCCTGACCCTGGGATTTTGTGTGGGAGGCTCTTTCTCCACACCTCCCTTTGTGTTCCTTGCCCCTCCTCCTCCGAGGGAATTTGCATTCGTCCCCGCCAATGGCTAGCTCTCTGCCTGTGGTCAGCCTGATATTTGCATGGAGACTTCCTCATCCCGGGGCCAGGGGGACGAGGGGCAGCTCCCTCCCCATTGTGGGGTGGGGGTGGGGGGGCTCTGGTCTGTCCCTGAGTGGTGGAATGGGGTGAACCCCCCAGGTGCTGCTTCTGGACAAGGCAAGAGTGAGATGGGGCTGGGCAGACTGACCCCTCCCTTCTCTCCCCATCCCTGCGGTTGGAAAATGCCCCCTCCCCTGGTCCCTGGGCTGAGGAAACCTCACACCCTCACTTCTCACTCTCTCCCCAGAAGGAGTTTTGTGTTTTTTTCCGTCACGTGGTTTCCTGTGGGGCTGGGCATTGTGGGGCTACAGTTTCCTCCTGGGAAGGGGGTGTGCTTTGGGGAAAGGTCCTAGTTCTGCTTTCTGCCCTTCTGAGCCCCTCTGAGCCCCAGCCTCATCTCTAGTGATGTCAACCTGGGCACCTCAGAGCCCCCCAAACCGTCTTTTTTCCCCCTGCAGGGTTGTCTGTCTTCCCGGCTACCCAGGGGGAGTTGTCCCCATCATGACTCCCTTGTGACTCCCTGTCTCCATTGCTCTCTGTGGTTCGGCCTCAGTGTTTCTCTTGGTCTCCCTCCTCTTTCCCTAGAGCAGCCCTGGCTTTCCTGGGACCCTTCCTCAGTTTCTCCCCTACAGCTGCTCTGGATATGGCCTGCCTTTCTGTCTCTGTCTTACGCTCTCAGAGGCGGGCCTGGTTAGAACTCCCAAGGCTTCCCTATCAGCCCAGGGCCTTGGGCCAGTGTATGATCGCCCAGCTTCAGGTCCCTCATCTGTACAATGGGATGGTACCTACCTCTCAGCATCTTGAGAACTGTGGACCTAAATATGGTGGTGGATTTGAGGGGCACGTGGCTGTATCAGTTGGAGGAGTGTGCCACTCTTAATCTCGGGGTTGTAAGTTCGCGCCCCAAGCTGGGTATAGAGATGACTTTAAGAACATCTTTAAAAAAAATATGGTGGTGGATTTGAAAGCATCTAGCACAGTGCCTGGCACATCATAGTTACTCGATTTCCCTGTCCTCTGCGAGCGTCTCTGCTCAGCACCTGCCCCTTGGCTTACGTGTCCCTTTCCCCGATGTTGCCTTTTCTAGGTGGTACCATGGTCACATGTCTGGGGGGCAGGCAGAGACACTGCTGCAGGCCAAGGGTGAGCCCTGGACATTTCTGGTGCGTGAGAGTCTCAGCCAGCCTGGAGATTTTGTGCTGTCCGTGCTCAGCGACCAGCCCAAGGCTGGCCCAGGCTCCCCGCTCAGAGTCACTCATATCAAGGTCATGTGTGAGGTAAGGCAGCCAAGCCCGCCGGGGCTCCCGTCTATGCCCAACGCAGGGCCGGTGGGGTGGATCAGCCTGGGCTTTGGTCTAAGGCTGGGGGTCTAGGGAGGGAGACTCGGGTCGTGCCGAATGGCCTGACTTGGCATCCCTCAGGGTGGACGCTACACCGTGGGTGGTTCAGAGACCTTTGACAGCCTCACAGACCTGGTGGAGCATTTCAAGAAGACAGGGATCGAGGAGGCCTCGGGTGCATTCGTCTACCTGCGGCAGGTGAGAGGGGTGGGCCTGGCTGCCTCCTTCCTTTTCCTGAGCCATCCCTCAGACACGGGAGCTTCTGGGATCTTGAGGCACTGACTTCTTGCCCATCCCTGCCCAGCCATACTATGCCACTCGGGTGAATGCAGCTGACATTGAGAATCGGGTCTTGGAACTCAACAAGAAGCAGGAGTCGGAGGACACAGCCAAAGCCGGCTTCTGGGAGGAGTTTGAGGTGCGTGGTGGGGACCATCAGGATGACCCTGTCCCCTCTCTCCCCACCCCTTACATTGGTCTGCCCCATCTTATCTCTGGGCGCCGATGCCCCTCCAGGGGCCGGTACTCTATTTCCCCCTCTCACCCCTCAGAGTCTGCAGAAGCAGGAGGTAAAGAACTTGCACCAGCGTCTGGAAGGGCAGCGGCCAGAGAATAAGAGCAAGAACCGTTACAAGAACATTCTCCCGTGTGAGCACCCTACCCCCAGGCAGCCTCCATCCCTCCCCCTTCCCACCCAGGAGACTCCCCTTCCCTGAGCCAACCTCCCCCTATCTCGTAGGGTCTCCACTCCCAGCTCAAGGACGGTCCACCTCCTCACCCATGCAAGGGAGCCTCCCCTCCTCCAGAAAGCCTCTGCCCCTCCCAGTGGAGACTCCCTGCACCCCACGTCCACCATCGTCCTTCCTCTGAAACCTTCACGCCCACTCCCCGTGCAGATCCTCCACCCCTGCCTACCCACAGTGCTCCGAGAGCCTCCTGGCTTCTGAGACAAGAATGGCCTGAGAGCTTAGGAAGGGTCTGCCCCAGGGGCTGGTGAGTGCCCGGCTGACCCAGGCCCATCTTGTTTCCTCCCCGCCCACTCCCAGTTGACCATACCCGAGTGATCCTGCAGGGACGCGACAGTAACATCCCTGGGTCCGACTACATCAACGCCAACTACGTCAAGGTTGGTGGCACCTGCTCATCAAGGGAGGAGAGGCTGGGCCCTGGGGATTCCCCATCTCAGGGGGTACTGGATCCAGAGCCGCGTAGGCACAGCGGACAAGTTAGGCGGTGAGGGGGGTGGGGGTGCAGGGGCTCACAGTCCTGGGGTGCAGCTGTCTACACTTGCTTCCAGAACCAGCTGCTAGGCCCCGATGAGAACACTAAGACCTACATTGCCAGCCAGGGCTGCCTGGAGGCCACAGTCAACGACTTCTGGCAGATGGCATGGCAGGAGAACACCCGCGTCATCGTCATGACCACCCGAGAGGTGGAGAAAGGCCGGGTAAGGCCAAGTCCCATGCTGCCCCCTGACCCCCACAGCCCTTCTCCCCAGGGCTTGCCACCCACCACCATGAAACCAAAGAGACTCCGGATGCCAGGGCAGAAAGGAACCTCAGAGGGCAAGGTCCAACCCTTGTTGGGAAACCGAGGCACAGAGACCGTCTCGGGTACACACTGCCTCCCCGATCCCTGCTTCCAACCTGGGGCTCTCCTGACCACCAGACCCAGGTTTTATTTTTTTATTTTTATTTTTTAAAAGATTTTATTTAGGGGCACCTGGATGGCTCAGTCGGTTAAGCATCTGCCTTCGGCTCAGGTCATGATCCCAGGGTCCTGGGATGGAGCCCCGCATCAGGCTCCTTGCTCAGCAGTGAGCCTGCTTCTCCCTTTCCCTCTGCTCTCCCCGCCCCTCATGCGCGCTCTCTCTCTAATGAATGAATGAAACACATTTCAGTGTGTTTGAATAAATGAGTTCTCTAAATTTTTTGAATAAATATGAATAAATGAATGAATGATAAATGAATGCATAAATGAATGAATAATAAAGTGAATAAATAAATGAATAAAAATCTCTAAAAATTTAGAATAATAAATTTATAATTTATTTAATTTATATAATTTATATAATTTATATATTTATATATTATATATTAAATTTATATAATTTAAGAAATAAATAATAAATACAAATTTAGAAAAAAAATAAATTTTATTTATTCATATGATTTATTTGTTCATCTGATAGAGAGAGAGAGAGAAAGCATGTGAGCAGGGGCAGGGGGGCATTGGGGGTAGGGGCAGAGGGAGAGGGATAAGCAGACTCCCCCACTCAGCGGGGAGCCTGATGCGATGCAGGGCTCCATCTGATCCCAGGATCCTGAGTTCATAACCTGAGCCGAAGTCACTCAACTGACTGAGCCACCCAGGCGCCCCCAGGCGCCCCCAGGCCCAGGTTTTAAATGGGCTTTCTTCCTTAAAGTGTCTCGGAGCAACATGCCTTGTGCCCCTCCCCGACCTGTCCCCATCCTCGCAACAGCCCTCCTGTCCTCTCCGCCTCATAAATCTCTCTGGAGTCTGCCCCTCACCCTCACCCCACCGCCCAGCCTGTCTCCCTCCCTGTAGGCTGCCCCCAAGTACAGCACATCTGCACTGGAGTCAGAGGGGTCCCTCTCAAAGCGCACACACTGCATCGAATTGCTCCCTCTCTGAGAATCTTTCAGTGGCTCCCAGTTGTCGTCAGGATCAAGTCACACTCTAAGACCCGGCACTCAAGGCATGGTGGCTCCCCGCAATGCTGCGTGCCTCCAGTTCCCACGCCTTGCCTGAGCGCACTTTCTGCTAGGAAGTGACTTACTCTCTCTGCCTGCCAGACTCCTTGTTTCTGAAGCCCCAGCCCAAATGCTGCCTCCTCTGTGAAGCCACCTCTGATTTCCTCCCTAATCGGGAGGGCGGAGCAGTCTCTCCCTCTCTCCGGGGCCCAGAGCAGCTCGGTTTTCCCTGCTCGCCTGTCTCTGTGAACTGCTAGAGGCGCGGGCGGGCGCGGACGCCTAGGCTGCGTCTTCGTCGTGTTTGTAACGCAGCCTGGTCTGCACAAGTTCAGCTGCAAAGTGTGCACCAGCCAGTGTTTACTGAGTGAACTGTAAGGTTGAGCGGCTTGTCAGGTCTCACCACCTGTTGGTGGCTGAGCCAGGACCGGACCCGCCTTGGATTCTCGGCCAGTTCATCCATTCATCCAATGAACGCTGACTGGGCCGGCACTGGGCACGCAGGACCTCGAAAAGGGCCTGGAACAGCCTGTGCGTTCTCGCTCCTCACCTCCACCGTCCCTTTGCAGAACAAGTGTGTCCCATACTGGCCGGAGGTGGGCACGCAGCGCGTCTACGGACCCTACGTGGTAACCAATTGCAGGGAGCACGACACAGCGGAGTACAAGCTCCGTACCTTACAGGTCTCCCCGCTGGAGAATGTGAGTATCCTCCAGCCCTGCCTCGCTCCTGGGACCCCTGCTTGGATCTGTTCTCTTGCCCGGTGGGGTGGGGGATGGGACGACGTGTGGGGACAGAGGGCACTGGCCCTATGCACTCTGCCCAGGGGGACCTGGTTCGAGAGATCTGGCACTACCAGTACCTGAGCTGGCCTGACCATGGGGTCCCCAGTGAGCCTGGGGGTGTCCTCAGCTTCCTGGACCAGATCAACCAGCGGCAGGAAAGTCTGCCTCACGCGGGACCCATCATTGTGCACTGCAGGTGAGAACAACAACGATGTTGGCAGTAGTAATCAAAACAGTCGTCGGCTAGCAAATACTGTGCACTAAGTGCCATGTGCTCTCGTAAGCAGTCATTTCCGTGTTAACGCATTCAGTGCTCCCCCGGACCCCAGCCACCTCCGGGATGGCTCCTGGATGACTCCAGACCCAAGGCGGACACTTAGCTTGAACCGACCCCGCTGCCGGGTCCTGTGCCTGGGGGGCGGGGGGTGGGGGCGGTTCTGTAGAGACTTCCCTGGATGTACCATCTCCTCCAGATGAGCAGACAGGCCCAGAGACTTGCCAGCCAGTTTGTGGGAGAGTCTGCGCTGGTCACTCCTGTTTTCTCACACGGGCTTACTCGGCCTGTATTTCTTCTTGGGCCCTGGCACCTTCCATTTGGGGTCAGTGTGGCTCCCCATGTTTGCTTTTTCCATCTGTAGCCCTAGGGGTGCTTAGCCTTCTTCTCTCTCTCTCCCCCTTCCCAGCTAGTGAGCCCAGCTAAGCTGCCAGGGTGGAGTAGGGACGGGTGATGTCTTCTGGAGGGGCACGTGCATCACCAGCTCCACTGGAGAATCTCAGGTTCATGATCAGGAGCCCCTGTTCCTGCTAGGTGGCGAGGGGGCGGCCAGCAAGGAGGAGCGGGGGTCCCCTCAGTTCTGAGGGGCCGAGTCCTGTAGACGGGCCTACCTAGCTGGCCTGGTCTGGGTCGATGGGAGGCAGTGGGTGCAGGTTCCTGGACAGAGACCAGTAGGTTTAAACTCCAGCTCTTCTACTCGCTGGCTGCGTGATCTCAGACAAATTACTTCACTTCTCAGACGCTCAGATTCCTCATCTGTAAATGCAGGATCTCCTCTGCTTGCTGTGAGGATTCGCTAAGACCCTGTGCCTGTGTCTGGAATGCAGTAATGCAGTTATCCCTCAAGAAATGGGAGGTGTTGATGGTTTAATAACACATCAGGCAGGGAATTGGGAAACAGGAGCCTGCTTTGTCCACTTCCCTTCCCACTCCCTCCCGTGACCCCAGGCTGAGGGCCTCACACGTCTTCCTTCTTCCCACCAGCAGCGTTAGTCCTGGGGCAGGGCTGGGGGTGCTGAATCTGGAGGTGCCCCCCACCTGTCATCTAAGGGACTCTGCTCTGCCTCCAGGGGCAGGCCCATCGCTAAGAACGACCCTCCTGCTACTCCCCTTCTACTTCTTGAAATCCCCATGGCCTTTATTTAGATGTTACAGGAAGGAAGTGGGTAAGGGGGGGTTATTTTTGACAATCTGGGTTTGAAATTAGACAGTGCGACTCAGGCCACTAGCCTGGCGGCTCCGCCGAGGGGGCGGACTGGGATCTCCGAGGGATCCTGAGATTCCCGGGACCTGTGGCCCCAGGGAGGTGACAGAGGGTGGAGAAAGAGGGGAGACCTCATGCCTCACAGCTCCTCCACACCTCCCCAGTGCCCTTTGTGCCCTGCTGCCTCAAACGCTGCCCTTTCCCTGTCCTCAGGGTCTGAAGAAAACGGGAAACAAAGCCCTTTCGAAAGCTCTAAATAAGACTTTTGAAGGGCTGGGTGGTGGTGGGGGGGGGTGGGGGAGGTTTGGCGGGGAAGGCCTCATTCAGGCCAAGGGTGTGGGAGAGGACGGGGGGTGGGAGGGGAGGCCCAGAGTGCCTGGGGGGCAGGCAGGACACTGGTGGGACTGGGAGTCCTAGATCTTCCAGAGTAGGGAGCAGCCCCCAGCCAGCAATGAGGAGGCGAAGCAGGAAGTGGAGGAGTGAGGTGCTGGGAAGAAGGAGAGCTGGGGTGGCGTGGGGCGGGGGGGGGGGCACTGGAGAGCCGGCTGCCCACAAATCCCTGGGCTGAAGCTGAGCATGGGTGCAGACGCCGGGCAGCTTCTGCCTCTGGCTAGCCTGCCCAGTGACCCCGGGCATGTTACCTCCTCTCGCTGGAGCCTCAGTTTCTTCCTGCCACCGTGCCACAGCTGAACGCTGGGGCTCCCCGCTCCCGGTGCGGCGTGGCCTGGGCCTCTGATGGCGCCCCCTTCCCTCCGCAGCGCAGGCATTGGCCGCACGGGCACCATCATCGTCATCGACATGCTCATGGAGAGCATCTCCACCAAGGGTGAGGGTGACTCGTGGGGGACACAGGGCGGGGGGGGTTTGGGTGAGCGGCCCCTCGGTGTCCACCTCTGCCTGGGCCAGGGGTCCAACTGCCATGCCTGCCCAGGGTTGGACTGTGACATCGACATCCAGAAGACGATCCAGATGGTGCGGGCGCAGCGCTCGGGCATGGTGCAGACGGAGGCGCAGTACAAGTTCATCTATGTGGCCATTGCCCAGTTCATCGAAACCACCAAGAAGAAGCTGGAGGTCATGCAGGTGTGTGCAGAGCAGGGCCTGGCAGAGCAGTGGCGGGGGGGGCGGGGGGCGTGGGTATCACCGGGTCCGGCTGGGACCACTGCCCTCCCTCCACACCTCTGCCCACAGTCCCAGAAGGGCCGGGAGTCAGAGTACGGGAACATCACCTACCCCCCAGCCATGAAGAACGCCCATGCCAAGGCCTCCCGCACCTCTTCCAAGTGAGTGACCCCTGCCTGCCCCCTCCCAGCGTCTACCCCCGCCCTGCCGCCTCCTCGGCCCGACCCTCCCTTTCCAGAGACTACAGGTGCTGCTGTCAGGGAGACCTGGGTTCAAGTTCAAGCTTGGCTCTTCCTCCCTGGGTTCACAAGTATTTCCCGAGGGCCCTCTCCGTGGGGTCTGTGCTGGACACTGGTATTATTAACGTGTGAGATGGAGCCGCTGCCCGCAGGGAGCTTCTAGTCTAGGGAAAGGACCCAGTCTCCTTGCTCCTGGCCTCGGTTCGTTCACCTGTGAAACGGGGTGGGCCAGAGGGGGCTGCTGGTGCCGGGGCATTCCTGACCCGTGCCACCTGCCCACACTTGCCCACCGCACCTGCAGACACAAGGAGGATGTATATGAGAACTTGCACAGTAAGAACAAGAAGGAGGAGAAGATGAAGAAGCAGCGGTCGGCGGACAAGGAGAAGAGCAAGGGTTCCCTTAAGAGGAAGTGAGCCAGGGTACGGCCCCCCCAGCTCCGGGCTCCTCCTTGCCCTGCCCCCAGTGTTCCCTGGATCCAGTGCTTTCCCCTGGATGGGGGGGGGGTGGCAACAGCCTCACTTTGCCCTTCCCAGCCATCGCAGACCTTTCTAGCTCCGCTTCCCCGTTCCAGGCGCTCTCTTACTCTCGTACTCCCTTCTCTCTGCAGCCTCAGGCCTGATCCCTGCAGAGGCCTCCCGTGGACCAACCCACAGCCGGAACCTGGGAGCCCGCCCCCATTCTATTGTAATTTAAATGGCTGCGTCCCTACTTCCCTCTTCCTGACCCTGTATATAGCCCAGCAAGGCCCCAGGCAGTGCCGGGGCCCTTTATTCTTGTAAATAAAGCCCTTAGGATCACTCTGTGTGTGTGTGTGTGCGTGTGTGCTTGTGCGTGAGTGCATAAAAGCTCGGCCTTCAGTCAGAGGAGAGTGATCAAAGGTACAGTGCAGGGAATATAGTCAATGGTGTCGTGAGAGTTGGTGGTGACAGATGGCGGCTACACCTGCGGTGAGCGTAGCCTACTGTACGGACTTGTTGTACACCCGAAACTAATGTAACATTGTGCGTCAACTATACTTCAACTAAAAAAAAAAAAAAAAAAATATATATATATATATATATATATATATATATATATATATAAAATAAAATGAAGGATGATCCTGACAGGGTGGTTGTGAAGATCACTGAGATTAGGGAGGAAGATCACAACTGGCAACAATAATTCATTACACACCGGTCATGTGTCAGGCACTGTTTCAAAGGCTACACATTCAATCTAGGTACCTGTGTGATGCCCATGTCACCGCGGGGGAAACTGAGGCACAGATAGACTACATGACTTGCTCACAGGCACAGAACTGCTGAGCAGTGAGGCTAGGATTTGAACTCAGGCCGCCTGGCTCCAGAGCACACAGTCCCGGAGATGCCCCTGGGGTCACCCTGAGGGGACACAGCCGCACTCCTCTGGCGCTGACTTCCAGATCTCAGAGCTCGGGCCGCTCCCGGCCCCGGAAGCACAGGCCTGGCACCTCGCGCCGCCGCCGGCCGCCCCTCCCTCCCCGGGCTCCTGCGGGCTCAGGCTGGTGCGCCTCGCTCCTCCCTTCTCCGGGGCCGCGGCCGCCCTCGGGCTCCTGGCAGTTTTCTTTTTGTCCCCTCTTCCTTGCTCCGTGTCCAGGGTGAGCTAACCAGAGATTCCTTCCTTGGGTTACGGCTTTATCTTGACTGAGAAGCCTGTCTCCTGGAGCCTTTAGCCCGTGAGGGTCCCTGCTGCAGGAGAGGCTGAGGAGCGGGCTGACCCTTAGTGTCATTGAGCGCGTGCTTTGTTGCCGGGTGTCCACTGTGTCACGGGCACTGGAACAGTGCGGGGGGGCATGGTGTGCACACGACAGGTCCCGTTGTTGTGCAGCCAGGAGACCGGCCACAAGCAGCAGATACAAACGGACAGGTGCTAGGAAGGACGCAAACAAAGGAGACAGAGAGAGAGGAGAGCTTGGATTGGGCCACACGAGAGGCCCTGGAGCCATCGCCCTCCTGGGGGCGGGTGGGTGGGGCATCACCTGTGGGCCCCGGGCTCCCCTCCCAGCGACGCCTAGAGCTGCACAAAAGAAAGGCGGGTCCCAGCCCTCTAACCACCCCAGGGCTAACTGCCTGTGGGCTGGGACTTGGCCGCAGGGCACTGAGGTGGGTCCAGGAGCAGCTCTGCCCTGCGGGTGCACGGTCCCCCCGCCCCCCCAGCAGGTGGCCGTTTCTCCCCACCGGACCACTGCGAGGGCTGCTGGAGAGCGGCTCAGCCCTTTAATGGGTAGGGTCTGTGCTGGCCTCCTGGTGGGGTGGGCTCCCCAACACTAGGGCTGAGGACAAGGGAGGCACCCCGCCGGGCCCTGCCTGCCCTTCAACACGCAGGGTTGCCCAGCACAGGCTGGGGGCACAGCCCAGTCCCTGCCGAGCGGACCCCTCGCTGACCTCAGGGCTCTCTGGCCTTGGGCAGGGTAGGAGGCCTTAGAGGAAGGGGCCGGCCAGGGCAGGAGTAGCTGTTGGGCCAGGCCAAGGAGGCAGGCCAAGGGGCCCGAAGGCAGCCCCTCTCTTTTCCTGCTGGACCCCAGGCTCCGAGTGTAGGCCCAGGGGGCCAAAGGAGGCGGGCGGGCGAGAAGGGACCTGTAGGAAGGGATGGGAGGCCTAGCGAGGTGGCCAGGCCTCAGAGGAGGTGCCTACGGTGGGCCCTGGGAGGGAAGGGGTTAAGGCAGTGGGGGGGCAGCCTATGGCAGGAGGACACACCTGTGCGCAGGGGCGGCGGGCGGGGCCCAGGTGAGGAGCCTGCGCTGCCAGGCGGGCGGAGAAGGAAGGAGGAAGAGTGGAGGCCGGGGGCAGGCGGCCTCTGGGCCTTTGAGTCCTGGACCTTGACTCCCCTTCCTCTCCTCGGCACTCACTCTGGGGGGGGCAGGCGGCCCGGGGACAGGTAAAGGCCACTGGGAGGGGGATTCTGGGGCCTAGTCAGGGGCCACAGAGTGGGGCTGAGGGCCGATGAATTGGTGTTGGGGGGGCAGCGGGGGGCAGGGGCTCCGAGGCTGAGAACAGGTGGGCAGGGGGCTGCGGAAGACCTGCCTGGGTCTCGGTGGCTCCGCAGCTCAGGGTGGGGCTGGTGGCGGGCTACGGGGCTCACCCGGAAGTGTCCCCAGGGACTGGGGGGGTGGGGGGGTGGGGGGATGGGAGCCAGGCTTCTGCAGCCTCTCCACAGGGAGCCTGGGCCGGAGGTGGGCAGGGGCCCCCGTCTTACCCAGCAGTGTTTGGGTGCTGGTTGGGAGTCTCTAATACTGCCGGGTAATGATGGAGGCCCCTGTCCCTGTGTCAGCGACATCTATCGCCTCAGGCCCCCCGGCCCCCTCCCGCAGGCTGCCGTCACTCTGCCGAACCTCCCCGCACACCGTGGAAGCCCCTTCATCTTGAGCGAAGGGTGCTGCAGAAGAGGTGGCTCTCGGTTGGCTGGCTGCCCACTGAAGGGACACAATGGCCCCGAGCCCCTCCCCCACCCCGGTGTGATTTGTCATCCGGTGGGTCCAGAACCCACAGCTAACCGTGAGCTTGGGAGTGGCTCACATACTCTCAGGAGACCTCGCCTGGCCGGCGGCCAGGGTCCCGGTAGCAGCTGGTCAGCTCCGGCCTGGAGCTGCGCGTCCGCCGGCTCTGGGTCCATCTTCCAGTGCAGTGTTGGATGGTCTAATCGTGAAGCTCCTAACACTGTCTGGTAAAGATGGCCCCCGGGCCGGCTCCCTCGGCAGCGACCTTCAGGGAGCCCCGAAGACCGTGGAGGCCTCCTGATGAACCACCTCTGACCTTTACCCCGCTGGGTGAGGGGGGTACATCACTAGAAAAGGGGAGCAACGGGGAGGAGACAAAATGGCTGCCCTGAGAGCTGCCGCAGGATTTGGAAACATACTCGTTCGCCAGGTACCTCCATTCCCTTCCCGCCTTGGGAAGGCGAAAGAAGGAAAGTGTGCATAGGACCTCGTGGTGGACTGGTTCGGGTCACTTGGCCTGTCTTTTGTCTGATTGTCGATTTCATCGTAGGCTCCTAGCTCCTGAGGAGTGGGAAGCCGTACCTGCCCCATCTCCCTGTCCTTTTTATGACACTCACCTGCAGGGCAGGGGGGCGTTAATCTACTTTTCTCCAACAATCTGAGAACTGGAAGACGAAGCCCAGTCCCTAACCCTGTAAGACTCCTCTCCTCCCCTACCACGTACTCTGTAATTCCTGTACTTACTTTTGCCCCCAGTGCTAATGGTTCCCAATGTTCCTTGTCTCCCCATAAAGACAAGGGATGGGGACATAGGGGCTGTGGAGTGATTCGGGCACAAGCAGTGGCTTCATTTCTCTGCTGCTTGAGTTGCCGAGGGCTGTCTTGGGAAGGATGTGAGGCGGCCGTGTAGGGACTGAAGACGGGCACCTGCTCTGTTGGGGGCCCAGGGGTGCTGGCGTGAAGAGCCTACCTCCGCAGGTAAAACCCTGTTTCACAAACGGCTTCTCACATCTGGCGACTGAGAAATTTGAGTGTAGGTAGCCCCCGGCAAGGAACTTGATCCTCTGGGCTTCTGAACACAAAGTCCCTCGACAGGCGCAAATGGTTTCCCCCACAGCTACATGGAGCCTTGTTACCAAGGAAGCAGCTCGTGGTGGGGACATCAGATTTTTTTGGTCTAGCTCAGCAAAGCCACAGCTGCTCCAGCCTTAAAAAAGGAAATGTTGGTGAATAAACACTGGTGATGTGGTAGAAATGGAGGGTGGAGTGAAAAGTGCAGCTGGGCCGCAGTATCCGAGGACCTGTTGCTCCCAGCTTGGGTCGTTTTGGATTTGACTCAACTGGGCTTCCACGGTGAGCAGCCGGGCCGCAGCCGGCGCGGGTCCGCAACTCCTCCTCAACAGCCCTGGTCAGAATCTTTGCGCCCCCTGCTGGCAGATACGAGGAAAGGCCCAGGAGTGCGGGACCTGAACCTGCGCATGCGTGCCTCCCCTCACCCGGCTCAAACACGTGACGCATAAAGACTTGAGTTTAAGTAATAAAAATTTATTGAGAATTCCTGGGATGGTGGTTGTCGCCTCCCGACCTGGAGGGAGGAACCAACACTGTAGGCAATCACTCCAAAATCACACTGTCCCAACACCTCTGGCCGACACAGGGAGGAGCAAAATCATTCCCCAGAAAACTTGTCAGGCTTTGTTCATCCAAGAAGGGTTGGGAGGACAGATGCGAGAGGGACCATCACATGATACTGGGGGTGGGATGGGGGTGCGCTGGACCCTAAGCTGGCTCCTCAAAAACCAGGGGAGGAACAGATCCACTTCTTCTCTGGGAGTGGAGTTCCCGGTCACCAGGCTCATTTCTTACCCTTGATGAGGCTGTCACTGTGGAAATGGGACAGATGGCACTATTAGAGAACATAAATGCGAGAGGCAGAAGAACTCAGGCCACTCCCTCCTCCCTGAGTGAGGGGGCGTGTGTCATGAGGTGAGAATGGAGAGGCGGTGGGGAAAGAGGCAGGTACTGGGAGATGAACTGCAAGACCCCAGAGAAACAAGGACGCGTCACCAACTTACCTGCCTCTGTGGATACCGGGTCACCGGATGAAGGGGAAGCACAGAAAGAGAAGAGAAATGCACAGGTCATTTGACAACGTCAGGCCCCACCTGCTCTAAACCTGCCTTCGCTCCCAAGAGAAAAAGACAAATGGTTGGAAGCCAGGAATCTCGCTCTGAGAAGAGGCTGGTTCCCTTGGCCACGACCATTTCTCGTCTGTCCTTTCTAGCATCCTTCCATGCCCTCGAGCAGCCATTTTAAGGCTTCCGAGTACGAGTACAGAGTATCATCTTTCACTGCTTCTCAGTTAGGACCAAACCTCACAGCTCGAGTGCTTTTTTACACGAATAATCCTATTTGATCCCACAAAACCAATCTTAGGAGAGTCAAGTTAGGGGCTGTCAACCACCCACGATTCTAACTTTGGTTCAGACAAACGATGTCTTTCAAGCAACCAGACTCAAGTCCCATGCTCTCTGTGACACCCCACTGTGTAGGTCGTGTGTCTTACCGGGTGAAACTTTCATCCTGTAGGTTCAGGACGAGGTTGTCAGCAGTGAGATAGATACGGTTCTGTGATGTGGCAATCTATAGGGCCAGAAATAAAAAACAGATGCTAGTATTCACATCTGGACCCTGACCTTGCAATTCTGTAACCACTGATGGAATACGCTGGGTTAGGAACAGGCCTCTGGCAATGAGCGAAGGCATGGTTTCTGCACTCAGACAAAGGCCCAGAGCAGCGAGCAACTGTAATGTATTAGCACCGTGACAGAGGCATGAAAAGGTCAGGGAGCCCACAGAAATCATGTTTGATGGAGGAAGCATGTTGGAGGAGACAGTTTGAGTAGAAACCACAACAAACAAGATTCTAATCCCCTTGCTTCAACATGTTTTCACTTAAAACAATTCCAGACTCATGGCCGCCTTGCGGGGAATGCTGGGCTCCCAGACTCACCGTCTTGGAGATGTTCTGGGCTGCCCGGATCTTGCGCAGTTTGATATAGCCAGGGTTCTTGCTCAGGGCTTCTCCAAGGTGAGCAGGTTGGGGTTAAGGGTTCACCCAAGGTCCGGTCGCAACCCCTGGCCCCATCCTTACCACTGCAGCCCTTCTCTGGGCTGTCAGATCCAAGGTTGTGCTCAGACAGCTCGTGCCCAGTCCCACTTTGGCCCCCCACTGTGGGCCCCCCTGCAGGCAGCTGCCAGGAACTGGAAGCAGCAGAACTGGAGGCAAGGCCAGTGATGCTATGGATCTGCCTTACAGTGAGGAGCCAGGCCTCGGGCACCCCACGAAGATTTCAGATCCCATTCAAAACCTCCACCCCCAGGGAGCCAAGGACCAGAGAGCACGGAGTCACATTCGCCTTAGTGTCATCAGCCAGCCCAGGTGGGAGAAGGGGGAAGCAAAGTGCTCCAGGGGCTGGGCAGAGACCTCTCCTAGCAGAAGGATATCATTTTGGCGGCCTCAGCCTCACCCTCAGCCTGCACAATCTTCTGCCGCTGTTCCTGCTTTGCTTTTTCCACCAAAAACTGGGCCCGCTGGGCCTCCTGCTGAGCTGTGGTGGGAGAGAGTCAGGGGGTCACAGATGTGAGATGTCAGAGACCCCATTCCGCCTCCTGCATTCTCAGAAACCCTGGCCCTAGTCCTCTTGTAACTCACCCACTTGTTTGGCTTCCACAGCAGCTGTGTATTCTCGGCTAAAGCTGAGCTCTGTGATGGCCACATCATCCAGAATGAGGCTGAAGTCCTTGGCTCTTTCTGTCAACTCCCGCCGGATCAACAAGGATACCTTGACAGGGAGGGTCAGGGAGAGGCAGATTGAAGGTACTGGAGAACTGGAAGGGAGGGGTATTGCTGGGATCGTCTGAATACCAGATCACCAGAAAATGGCAGAAAACAACCCTTCCTTGGTTCTGCAGCTAGAATATCTGAGCTGGAAAGGACTTAGTCCAATCTTCCCAGCAGGTCACAGTGACTCCTCATCTCCCGCTCTCCCCAGCACAATATGTACCTCTAGACCTTGCTAGTGTTTTCTCCCATGCTTCCTACTCAGAGCTCTTGAGCACCGGTCTCCACCCACTTCCCACACTGGCCATTAGTACAGCTTTGAGGTGAAAAGGGATCTAGGGTCATGATCCTTTTCTAATAAGCTGCCCTTCCTAATACCCACTGCTCCAGGCCTAGGAGGGAAGGTGGGAAGCCATGTAGAGGGTGACAGGTCAGACCTGGGCCCGCTGGGTGATCAGCTGTGAGGCATTGAACTTGGCCACCACACTCTTCAGCACCTCGTTGACAATGGACGGCAGCACTCGCTCCTCGTAGTCTAGCCCTAGACGCTGATACATGCTGGGAAGCTCCATGGCATTGGGTCGAGACAGCACTCGCAGGGAGATGTTCACCATCTGCAGGTCTGAGAGTGAGGTCAGCAGTGGCTGGACAAGGCCCCAGGGGCCTCATTTGGCCTTTTAGCCAAGCACCTTTCCCCAAGCATTTTCTCCTCCTCTGCTCTCTACACCTGGTGCAGTGCTGTGCAGGGTGACAGGCCAAATGTGGCCTCTGCCGCTGTAAGGTCTTGTCGACCCGCCAGCTCTCCACCAGTAGAGCTGACCTCTCGTTTTGCTTCTGTACTGTGTTCAACCTCTACTGCAGGCTCTCTCATGCTGCATCATAATCACCTGCCTTCTTTTTTTTTTTTTTTTAGATTTTATTTATTTATTTGAGAGAGAGAATGAGAGAGAGAGAGAGCACACATGAGAGGTGGGAGGGTCAGAGGGAGAAGCAGACTCCCTGCTGAGCAGGGAGCCCGATGCGGGACTCGATCCCGGGACTCCAGGATCATGACCTGAGCCGAAGGCAGTTACTTAACCAACTGAGCCACCCAGGCACCCCATCACCTGCCTTCTTTACTAGACTGTATGGACTTGAGCACAAGGATCGCGTTTTATGAATCCTTTATTACCAGGGCCTAGGATTCAGGGGATGTTAAGCCACTTGCACTAAATACAGTACAAGACGGTACATTACACGTGAGCTACCTGAACTAGTGTGTACATGCCTCTGTGTGTGTGTGTGTGTGAAAGGGAAAGAAGTCTGGGGAATCTCAAAGACCGCTTCTATGTATGGTTTGGCAAGGAACAGGTGCTCCAGTGAAAAGTGGGGCCAAGTTTCCCCAGGAGAGGGGACACTAGTGGATAGAAGTAGTCAAGCAGTTAAAAGAAAACAAGGCTTTACAATAAGGCTTTGATCTAGTTAGTGAATAAGACAAAGGACAAACAGTACTCTCGCTGAATTTACATTAGCGGGGAGGGACTGTTTAGATAGATACGGGTGAACACACAGAATGTCCAGAATATACTGCTTTAACCTCAGAAGCAGATACTTTTACTATAGCTCTTCTGCAGATTTGGAAACCAAGGCCCAAGAGATGTGACGCTATCCTCTTCCCCTAGGATCTCCTGCCAGGCTCCTTTGCTTACTTTATGTAGCCACCTGCCAGGGACTACCAAGTGCCCAGACCTACCTTTGGAGCCTGTGGGGGAGGAAATTTTTCGGGGTCTGGCCCGAATGTCATAGATGATGGGGTACTGGAACCAGGGGATCCTGCAGGGGAGGGAACATGGACAGGTATTAGGAGACTGCAGTTTCACTAGTTTCGCCTGGTTTTTCCTCCCCACGTGTTTCTTGGCCTGCTCCATCTCTCAACGACCACGGACAAAGAGAAATTCTCTTCTCCCTCTGGAGAACAGTTTATGTGCTGCAGGAGTTTGGGGCAGCACCCAATGTCCAGGAGAAGTAAAGGGCAGCGCTGAGTCCTTTGAAGTCCTACTGCAGCCACTGGTGGGTTGGCTTTCAAGGGTGAAGGGTCAGGGTCAGTCCACTCTGCCCGCCATTACCTGAAGTGAAGGCCTTCGGCCAGTATGGTGTCCTGCTGCACGCCACCGATCCGATTAAAGAAAATGGCTCTGTGCCCGCCTTCCACTGTGGGGAGAGGGGTGGGGATCAGGCCAAAACGCTGCTGAGAGTATGTACTAGCCTCTGGTGGGGCGGGGAGAGGGGGTGGGTGTGCGCGGGGCCCCGGCGGGACCGGGCAGGGGATCTGGGGGGGATGGGAGGAGTCCGGAGAGCGGGCAGAGGTTGCTCACCGGTGAACACGGATTCGCGGACGCCGTACGCCACGGCGCCGGCCCCCAGCAGCAGCTTCAGCGCCGTGCCCATGCCCCGGGGCCCGGAGGGCAGCCGTCCCGCTAAGTCCTTCAAGTTCTGGGCCATGTCCGATCCTGAGGCCGGCGGCACCAGAGGTCAGAAGCGGGTGCCCGCCCACCTCAATCCCACTCCAGTTCGGAGATCGCACCCTTCACACGAGGGTCCGGGGCCCGCGGTGCTCGCGGAAGAAAGGGCACCGGAAGTGCGCTCCCTTCTAAACCCTCCCCGGCGCCCACAGCGGACGCGAACTTCGCGCACAGGAATTACGCATTCGGAAGTTCCCGCCCCTTTCTGGAACTCGCCCTTCCAGAGAGGATTCATTAGCGTGAGACTGCTAGCCATTGCCATTTCCAAGTGCCCACTTTCAAAATGGCAGCCGGAAAGAAGCTTGAGATTAGGGGTAGGGCGAGGTTTAATTTAAGGACCTTAGCGCAATTTCCGGTCCAGTGGCAAGATGGCTGCGCCCAGTGGCGGATTCCAACCTCGTGAACGACGCGGTGGGGAGCAGGGAGAGGACTGGGATGCTGTGGCTCCCAAGCGGCCCCGACTCGGGGCGGGGAACAAGATCGGAGGGCGAAGGCTCATTGTGGTGCTGGAAGGGGCCAGTCTGGAGACAGTCAAGGTAGTTTGGGACGAGGAAGTGGAGAAATAGTAGATTGATAGGATGGGACCCCCAGGGGTGAGGGTGAGAGGCTCAAAGTGGTTGGGGAGGCAGAGAGAGGTGAAACATCCTTTTGGAGGAAGAGTGGCCTAGGTGATTGTCTCTTGGTTTAACATCCTGGCTTGGCATCAGTCGTTTTCTTCTGTCCTTCTTGAATCCTATTGCAGCTGTCCGGTTGTGGCTGCCAATTGATTTACTAGGATTCTGTGATAGTCATCTAAGGGCGAGAGGAGGGGAGGGGAGATTTGTCCATCGGTCATCCCATATCCTAAGGTAAGTTCTTGAGCAAAGGAGAAAGGTAGTTACTGCAGCTCAGTTTGCCCAAGCCTTTTGTCAGGACTTTTGTGTTTTATTTCGTTAACATGTCTCTGTTGTCACCCTCCTTTATATTACTATCCACTTCGAAACACTGGATCAGATTATCCTTTAATATTTTTAAATCCTTTTTTTTTTTTTTAACCGTCATTCGGCTGTTTTCCTGAATAAATCCAGCAATTCCCTATTTTAAAACTGCAGTGTTCTCATTCTCTTTCTTGGTTCTCTTACCCTTTAGGCCTAAACTGACTGTCCAGTGAGTAGGCCCAGAAGAAATAGCCCTGGTTTATAAGTCATACTTGGTTGGGTTTTTTTTTTTCTCCATACTTGGGTTTTAATCTTGGTTTTTATACTTATTTTAGAGTGTGTGATTTTGATTGAGAAAACAAGTCCTCAGTTTGTAAAGTGGGGGTTAATACTTTGAAAGTGCTTTGAAAGTATTATTTTGATAGTAATGTATGCTGTGACTCTTTTCCATCTTTACTTCCTCAACCAGTTACTATACTAAGCTTGCAGTCTAGAAAGCCCCCCCTTTTTCATTTTTCTTAGGTAATTGATATTTCTAACTTAACTATAGGATCTGATATTCATCCCTCACTTAATTGCTTGCTCTGTTTCCAGCCTATTAATTCTGAATGTCATGTAACCACTTTGTGTCTTCATGTGCTCCATGGGGATGATAGTACTTACCTTACTGGGTTAGGGGGATAAAAGGAGGTAGTATCAGTAAAGACTTTAGAATAATGTCTGTCATTTGGAATTACTACTATTGTTATTGATTCTAGGTTCTTTATTAAGAAGTTGAAAAGGGGGCACCAATTGGTTAAGCATCTGACTCTTGATTTTGGCTTAGATCATGATCTCAGGGTCGTGAAATTGAGCCCCGCGTCTGGCTCTACGCTGAGCATGGAGCCTGCTTAAGATATTCTCTCTCCCTCTGTCCCAGCCCCTCGTGCGCCTCACTCATACAGTCTATTAAAAAAAAGAAGTTGAAAAGGTCATGGTCAAATTAAAATTCTTAGAGCATGCTGGAAGAGTTTAGGTCAAATTGTCATTAATGGTGCTCCAGGGGTGACTGAATTCATAGCTAGCTGAAATCTGTACTGTTTTCTTTTCCCTGCCTTGTGCTGGTATTGTTCTGATAGCCTCACTGAGCCTGCTCTCGCCCATTTATTCCTTATACTCCAGACTCATTGGCCTTTCGTTAAGCTCTTTGGAAGCACTAAGTTCTCTGATATCCTAAGGCCATTACACATAATGTTTCCTAATGGAAGCTCCCTTTACTCAGCTCTTTGCTTCATTAATTCCTACTTAATGTTCATTTACTTAAAAATTACTGAGTTTTATTATTGCTGCTCAATCTTCAGTTATCAGTTTAAGTATTATTTCCTTATAGAAGTGACTCCCTTCCTGGTATAAATCAGGACTTCCTGTTATAATCCTTTAATGAACCAGATGGTTCACTTTTCTTTCATAATGTTCATCAAAATTTGGTTGTGGCTTCATGTGGTTGTTTACCATTTGTCTCTTCCACTAGAAGGCTCCTCCATGAGGGTAGGCAATAAGGTTTTAAAAATTCTTAATATCTCCAATACCTGTTACAGAAAATGCATACAGTATTCATTCTCTGATTATTCTAGTTAGTGGTTTTCAAGCTTATTAACCACAAACCACAATAAAAAAAATTACATTGTGAGCAAGTACACACGGGCAACTATAAAATACCAAAAGTTTCATAAACCATTACCTACCATGACTATATGTAAAGTACTCTGTTTTCATCTCTATTTCATTAAAAGAACAAAACTCCTAGTTATAACTAATGGGTAGAAACTAGATTGTTCTATTCAAGAAGTTCTTTTTCTTCGATATCCAAGAGTGTCCCATGGAGGTGTTTCTTGGTCCTTTGTTCTTTTCCTGTGCTTACTCTGACATTTTTGTCATTTCAGTTAGTTTCAAAATCTACATGCTTCTTTCCCCTAATTTTGTGGAGTTATCTATCTCAAGTTGCCAGACATACAAATGTTCTTTTGATACATAGAAACATAGCGTTTCAAATCTGGTATTTATATTTAATGGCATGTTTTTAAGACTTTTTACTGATCGTTTTAATGCTCCTTATGACTCCAAATTGCAATTTTTTTTTTAGCTGCTATAGATCTATCAGGCCAGATTTTTAGTATCACACTTCTAGCTGGTGACTTTTCTAGTATACAGAGTTGCCAGGATAATATCCCTTGCTCAGTCATGCCCCTGTTATTCCAGGATTATTTCTGGCTTTGTGCTTAATTACTTGAGGAACCTACAGTTTACAAAGCAGTTTCATATACAAACACTGTTCAATATACCTTTTTTTTAAAAAAGATTTATTTATTTATTTATTTCAGAGAGAGAGAGAATGAGAGAGAGCACATGAGAGGGGGGAGGGGCAGAGGGAGAAGCAGACTCCCCGCCGAGCAGGGAGCCCGATGCGGGACTCGATCCTGGGACTCCAGGATCATGACCTGAGCCGAAGGCAGTCACTTAACCAACTGAGCCACCCAGGCGCCCCCCCCCCTTTTTTTTTTTAAAGATTTTATTTATTTATTTGACAGAGAGAGACACAGCGAGAGAGGGAACACAAGCAGGGGGAGTGGGAGAGGGAGAAGCAGGCTCCCCGCAGAGCAGGGAGCCCGATGCGGGACTTGATCCCAGGACCCTGGGATCATGACCTGAGCCGAAGGCAGTCGCTCAACCAACTGAGCCACCCAGGCGCCCTTTTTTTTTTTTTTTTTTTTAAAGAGAGAGTGCGCATGCACCCATTGGGAGGGGAGGAGAGAAAGAGGGAGATTATGACTTGAGCCAAAATCAAGAGTTGGATGCTTGACTGAGCCACTCAGGTGCCTCTCAATATACATCTTCTTTATCCATTCATCTATCAAGGGACACTTGTAAATCTTGGCTATTGTAAATACAACGCTGTAATAAACATACAGGGCTGCATAGATCTTTTCAAATTAGTATTTTTGTTTTCTTTGGGTAAATATGGGTAGTAGAAGTACTGGATTGTATGGTATTTATATTTTTAATTTTTTGAGGAACCTCCATACTGTTTTCCACAGTGGCTGCACCAGTTTACATTCCCACCAACAGTGCACTAGGGTTCCCTTTTCTCCACATCCTCACCAACATTTAGTTCTTATCTTTGATACTACCCATTCTGGCTGGTGAGGTGGTATCTCATTGTGGTTTTGATTTGCATTTCCCTGATGAGTGATGTTGAGCATCTTTTTATGTGTCTGTTGGCCATCTGTAGGTCTTCCTTGGAAAAATGTCTGTAGGTCCTCTGCCTATTTTTTAACCATTGTTTGGTTTTTTGGTGCTGAGTTATGTAAGCTCTTTATATATTTTGGATACCCCTTATCAGACAGATCATTTGCAAATACCTTTTCCCATTCACAAGGTTGCCTTTTTGTTTTGTTGGTTTCCTTTGTCGGGCAGAAGTTTAGATCATGTGGTATCACAGGCTGTGTCCTTTCGTTTTCCCTCTAAGATCAGTTATGGTGGGAGGGGCGAAAGGGTCAGTGGCCACAGAGTAGCCTCTGAAGAGCTTGATGGGTCCCATCCCCAGGGTTTCTGATTCAGAAGATCTGGAGCAGACCTGAGAATCTGACTGTCTAACAAGTTTCCAGATGATGATTAAGATGATGCTGATTTGGGGACCACACTAGTCTAGGTAAAGGAAGGTTATCTTGCTCTCTGTCATGTTCCCTGTTCTTTAGGTAGGGAAGACATATGAGCTACTCAACTGTGACAAGCACAAGTCTGTGTTGTTGAAGAATGGACGGGACCCTGGGGAAGTGAGACCAGACATAGCTCACCAGGTAACTCCAGGGACAGAGCTTGCAACCCCCTGAGCCTTTGGGCAGAAGATCAGGCAGCTGCATGCTGCTTCTCTTCAGTCTGAACCGTGCCTTGGTTTCTACCTCCCTCAGAGTTTACTGATGCTGATGGACAGTCCCCTGAACCGAGCTGGCTTGCTACAGGTTTATATCCACACACAGAAGAATGTGCTGATTGAAGTAAACCCCCAGACTCGAATTCCCAGAACCTTTGACCGCTTTTGTGGCCTCATGGGTGAGATCTTTAGGACTTAAAGTTCAGAATGAACTCGGCAGTAGTGAAGAAGGGAGGAAGAGGACATGGGATAAATGAAATGTGAACTTTTTAAGTGGGGGGAGTGGGGAACATGTTTGATACCAGAAAAAGGGCTCTTCATTATCTTCCCAGGTGCGTGGGTAAGACCCGCATAGGTTCCTGGCTGAGTGAAAAAGGGAGAGGGAACTCCCTGTCATCCAGCTAGTCAGCTGCTCGTTCGGAACATTTTAGCA